GTTCTCAAGGAATTTCACAATTATTTTTAAGTAGTCAAAATGACAGTATAATTCAAAGAAGCTTATTACCCATACTTTTATAGCCTACCAGGTGTTCATGGAATTTATCTACAGCAGAAACGATTTAATGTTTTCAACATGATTTCTGTTACAGCGCTTATGTTTTTGGTTTTATTTGCTGGCATGCTATGAAATTTGGTGAAGGAGGTGGGGGTTTATTGTGGCAGCAAGCACCATTTAATGTAAAATAATCTGCAGGTATAAAAACGTTCTGCTTGCACACAAAATTTCCCAGAAAGCATCCCTGACAGTGGGCAGAGGATGAGCAGAAACTACCACCCGGCACACCTCAGCGTTTTGTTGCGGCTAGTGAGGGCTCAGGAGAAGCTTTTGCTCTAAATCGAGCTCTCAGGGGAAAAGAGGAACGGGACACGCCGCGGTTCCTCGGCTTTCTCATTGCTTCAGCAGGGCCAGGGGCAGTTTCTTTGCTCATGTAGGCTGGAGAAAAGGGAGGACTGTGGTAACTTTGGTTTTACATAAATGTTTTCCAGAGATGTAAAACTGGGTGTCGAGACCCGGGGTTGTCCCGAGGGATACGGGATAGACCGGGTCTCGAGGGGGCTCCGAGCTGGCCCCGCTCCCACTGACCCTTCCGCCCTGCAGAGCGACTTGACCCAGGGGATGAATCTCCCTGGCGGGAACCACTTCCACACGGGAAGAAAGTGAAGGCGAAAGGGAGAGGAGGAGAAAACTTTCCACTAACTTACTTTTTTGGCCAAGAGCGCTTGTGTTCGTAGACACCGAGTCCTTCCCCCAGCCCTCCCCCCCAGCCCTCCCCCTCCCCGCCTTTACTAGCGTACAATTAACATCATTAGGAATCAGCCCTCCAGCTAATAGAGGAACTGCGACGAACAACGGTAGGTGTGAGTAAGGAAAGGTGGAAAGGATCCTAGACTGGGTTTTGGGGCTTGAGCTGGAAGTTGCCCCTCGGATGGAGGATTCGTGTTGCGGCAGGGGAGGTGCTGACCTGAGGGTAAACACCAAGTGGGGAAGGGAAAGGGAGAGAGGAAAAAGCTCGGCTGCAGAAGATGCGGATTGCTTGGCCGGAGCGCTCAGGGTCTGTTGCGTGCCTGTGTTGTCGGGTGTTTCCCTTTCTCCGCTCCCTTTTGATCCCGGTCCCGGGAAGTGCTGCTTTCCAGCCTCTCTTCTGGCTGCGAATACGTACAGGGCTCCGCACATGTTCCTCGGGCGCCATCTCTTTGCAAAGTCCGCCGTGCTCCCGCAGCTCTCCCGCGGGCTGCCCCGGGCCGCCTGAGCATCGCGGCCTCCAACCTGCGAGGCTTAGCGTGCCTACCAACCCCCGGGCGGCACCGCGCTGCCCCGCTTAGACATGGAACTGCTGGGCAGAGCTCCTTACTTTCTTCGGGGCGTTCGTCACAGTGAGAACGCAACTTCTCAGGAACAGAGGGTGTGAATCTGACTTTTGCAGAGGTATACTTAGAGAAGTGACTTTCTGCCCGCCTGGACCTGTGTGAGTGTATGTTTACAATAGGAGCTGAGATGACTTTTGGAAATCTTTCCTTATTGGAAAAGAGGGCTTCTCTTGTAACATAAAGCCTTGGGACAGCCGCTTTCCAGCTTAGAATTGAACACTGTTCGGGGGGACGCTCTCTTTAACACGATTCAAATACGAGCTAGACTTTTTTTAAACTAGTGTTAAGGGAGATCTTGCGTCCGGGAGGCCGAAGACAGAGAGAGGGCGGAGAGACGGACGGAGGGAGGGAGGAAGCGAGCGAGCGGCAGACAGCAAGGAAAGGCGAGAGACGGAGCAAAGTTTGGAAGAAGTGAGCTGTTGCGAAGAGTTCCAAAAGTTGTTTATCCTTCCCAGCTTGCGAGCTGGCAGAACTGACAGCAAGGGACTGCCTGGGGACGGAGCCCGCGCATGTGTCGCTCAGGACTGACCCCTCCTTTCCTTGCAGGTTTAAGCCCCGGAGGATATGATGTTCACGAAACTCTTCCAGCAGTGGAGTTTCGCGGTGTTTCTGCTGAGTTATTCTGTGCCCTCCTACGGAAGATCGGTAGAGGGGATCAGCCGCAGACTGTGAGTTACCTAAATTTCTTTCGGTCAGGGTGTGGGTGAGGAGGGCCCGGGACCCCGGGGGTGCTGAGGGGAGTCCTGGTAAGCATGGCTGTGGACTGGGCTGCCTGCCTCAGTTTGCTCTGGGCTCGGTTTGGGCTGAGACAATGGCAAGGGACGTTCGGGGAAGTTTCTGTGCTGACAGAGTACTGGGAAGGCAATACCGGCACAGAGGGACTCCGACCTGCGGGGAGCAGCGTGCAGCTGCACGCTTGCCGGAGGTGAGCTATTGCTGGTGCACCTCTTTGCACTTCTGAGGGGAGTTGTACGTTTGATCGGGTTGTTGCCGGTTCTGCAAGTAGTACGAAATGCCATGTACTTCAGTGCTGGCACAGAGCCGGTATCGATAAGGGTAGTGAAAATGCACATCAGTTACAGCCATCGTGAAACTGGGGAACTGAACTCTATTTGGACTGGCACTTCAGCTACTTATTTATTTATTTTTCAAAGAGAGTCCAACATATGACTTAAAAACAAAAGCGTATTTCTGACTAATTATAATGTAACTTAAGAGATTCTCTTCAGGAAACGATCCTTTTGCTCCTTCCAAAATAATCATCATGGCTCATACTAATATATCCTAAGCAAAATACAGAAGAGAAACCACTGAGCTGATGCAGGAGCAGTTGCCTTACATGTGTATTTCACTGGCTCTTACTGGGCTTGCATCAGATTTTTCAAAGTAGAAACATTTTAGACAGACTGTGGAGGGCTATATTCTTACGGAATTCAGGAGGAAGTTGAGCTACAGAAAGAGTGTTAGAAAATTCAGTTACAACATGTGGGGAAACATAACACAGCAAGCAATTTCACATGGGTTTCCTTGTAACTGTTTTGTTACGTCCATAAGGACAAAATTTTCAAATATCACTTCTTCTCTTGTTTGAGTAACAAGAATATCCACCAGGTGAAGCAACTTCAAACACGCCTGAACTTTGGCACCGAGCAGACAGCTATTACGATTTCCTACTAGCAAATTTCTACAGCAAATTGTGTAGAACATCATGTTGCTGCTAGTGCTACAATGTGTTCTACCAAATCTGTTAGTGTTTAGCTGTTTTCTATTCCTGAAAGCCACAGTTGAGCTATTTCTTTTCATTTAAGAGCATAATCTTTGTCTACCCAGAGGATCAAATCTTTAGTTTCATATATAAAATCCTAAAATAATTGAAGTGCATTAAAATGCTGTATTTCCTATGCTGAGAAACTCTGAACTGGATATAAGCCAAATTTGTAAAAAATAAAAATTGCTGAGAAATAATCTTTCTCTTCTTGAGAGAGGTTAGCATTGTTCTAACATTTGTTTATAGAAGTCAGGATTAGAGGTCTTCCCAACAACCCGATTCCATCCTGGCTGCGGGAGAAAAAAAGTGGAAGTTAAACACTTGAAACATATTACTCAGCCACCTCTTTGCCATGGCATGTAAAACATGCACAAGAAACCAGTTAGCTGTTAGTTAGTGGCATTCACATTGTTTTGTTTGTGGGTACAGCACAAACACAGACACCACACTCAAACATGTGTCCTGTTTTAATATCACCACAAACCATTCCTAGAGTTAATGGTTAATAACTCACTTAAGTCTATATATATATGTGTGTGTATGTGTGTATACAGACAGATATAATATATAGGTTTGTTTTCATTAAAATGCTTAACCCAGTAGCGAATGAGAATACCAAAGCATGTTCTTATAGCCATGCAAAAATAGTCAAAATGAAACAGGTTTGGTTCTCCAGGCCTTGCTAAGACAAATCTCTCAAGGAAAGCCATATCAAATTGTTCCAAGAAAAGATTGCCAGGCTTATTTGTTATGGAAATATTTTAGTTACTACAGAACTTCTGAGAAACCCAATAATGTCTCAAAGTGAAATTCTATATTTTTATCAGCATGCCCAAATGCTGCTGCACCATGTCCCCAAACCTGCTGAAAATATTTTTCATAACTCCGAGATAGGGAATGAAAGCTGCTGAACCATTGGAGCCAGTGGCAAGGGCGCTCTGTCTTGCAAAACCCAGATAGTGAGTTGACTGAATCCTTTCCAGTTATTTTGCTGATCAGATTCAATGTGAACAGTCAAGGATAATAACAGTTAAAGAAGAGGAATTCTGAAATAGCAAGTTGTTGCTTGAAAAGCGTTTCTTCTTGGTGACTCTAGTTACTGAGAAAACAAAAAATAAGAAAAATGTGCCTGAACAGAACAGCTTATCTGAAAGCACATGCTTAAAGTCAGAATGACTTTCTAATATTTCTCCCACAAGACATTAGGTCTCATATGCACACAGTGTACTTGGGTACAGTGGTTAATCTGGGCACTCTGCTCAAATACAAACCATCACCATCCTCTCAAAAGCACCTCCCATGAGTTAGTTTAGTATTTACTGTACTTGGTTTGGTGTCAGAATCTTTTTCCTTGAATTATAGATGCTCTTATAGAAGGATGGAAGGAACCTCCAGTGGGTCATCTTAACCCTAACAGTCAAATATTTTTTACATATTGTCCCTGACATGTGAACGCAATCATTTCAATTTCCATTACGTTCCTGCTTGGTGTGTAGGGGTGAGATATTGTTAATATCTGCAGTATGAAGTACTTCTTACATCAATCTTGGGCAAGTATTTTTCTCTGATTTATAAACAAAAGGGTTGTTCGAGTAATTGAGTAGAAGGAGGTAGAAGGTCAATGAGATATATATCTGCCATATCTTCTTTGTTTAGGGATATTTCGATCTGGAGCATAAAAAGGAAATTGGTAGGCAAAATGTAATCCTTTAGCCTGGCTGAGTAATAAAAGTCATATGAAATGTAACACTGTGTAATGTTATGCAATTATCTGGAATAGCAGATCATTAGTTGGGGACAGACTTGATGCTAAATATCATACAGACATTTAAACAGAAACCCACCCTGTTTGGCACACTAACCCTTCACATGTCAGTCTTTGAATCATTTTGGAAATGCCTACTTGCACAATATGTAGATTGTATAATGCTCTTTGACTGTCTTTTGTGATCCGGAACTAAATACTTAGGCTTCAGCTCTGTAAAATGGAAAAGCTTTTCAATTGAGAGTACTTTCATAACAGGCTTTAGAGATTCAGAATTTTGTCACAGAGGGTAAATTGACCAAATAACCTTTAAAGGATCAGGGTGGCTTTAGGCTGTCTGTGATAAATAGCGCTATTTTAGTCTCAGTAAATCACAAAGGTTTTGCATGTTTTTACAGACTCAAAGAGGAGAAGGAGAGCATTTTCCATGCAAAAATTCTGGGAAAATAGATTACTGAAGCTGGGACAGTAATGTGCACCACCATGGACAGCCTGACAAAGAGCAGAGAAGTAGTATTCAGAGGAGACTAAGGTGCTAGTTTTACTGGTGCACTTGCTGATCAGATTGACCTTAATGAGAAGATTGTTAGAGATGGTTATTGGAGAGTTGAACTGGTCAGAAAAAACTATCCTGGGAGAGATCTTGAGCTTACATTAATGGTCACAGCTGTATTGAAGAGAATAAAACAATATGGGTTCAGCTTAGTATTATTGTATTGCATTTTTGCTTGGAAACATTGAGTTGGAGGACATAAAGCACTTGCCCTAAGGCCTGAAGTCATCTGATGTTCATCTGATGTTCATCTGATTTGGGGACACTTGAAGCATCACAGACAATTTTTGGTTAAATGTGTGCTCCCAAACTTGAGTACATAAGCCTGATTTTGAGCAAGTATCCTGGTTGCATCATTTCCTGCAAAAACAGCCATCTGTCAGTAGAATGGGAGAAGTGTTTGAATTTTATGTGGAGTAATGGAGATGCAGTATCACTTGAACTAAACAGTCGAACCTGATACTAACAAAATTGCAAATTTACAAAGATAAATAGTGAAAGGGATCCTCTTAAACCCATGCTACATGAAGTTACCAAATTCAAATAGCTCTAGCGTTGGTCAAATCACAAATCTAAAGGGAGTCTGCAAGATAAATTACAGAACACTTCCAACCATTTAGCACACCATCATTGTCCACCATGTTTTGAAATCTTGCAGGATGATTAGAGATAGGAAGGCAGGAAGGCAGGAAGGAAGGAATGCTCACTAACATTTGTGTGTTTCTCCCATTTTACCAGTGCTCAGAAATAGCTATGTATTCAGCTAGCTGACCAAATAATTACACGATGGGCAAGGCAATGAATACATTTTCTTTGGCCAGTAAGAATCCAGTCACATACAGTACCCTGATACAAGATGAGAGGATACGTAGCCAATTTCAGCACACTGAAGTAGGACAATTGGAAGGATAAACTTATTAAAGTGTTCATGAGAACATGACTAAAATCCCAGCCTGCACTCTTTCTGTGGTTCACAGTGCAGCTGTGCATCTATCCCACACCAAGAAAAAAAGGCTATTTTTCACAGTTATTTATTATACAGGTGCCACTTATATCTTCTTTCCTCAGACACTTCATGCCTTATCTGCCAATACGAAATCTCTGAAAGACAGATTTATAACCATCTCCTAATTCCTCTAGAATCTAGAAAGAGATCAGTGAACTAAAATATCATGAACTTTGAAAGAATACCAGAGACTTATTGAAACCAAAATGCTCTGGAGGGCTAACGTAAAACTTCGCAAAGACAAGGAGTCTGTCCCATAAAGTTCACATTTTAATGGAATGCCATGAAGACATCTAAAAATGTAATTAGACGTAAGTGACCAAGTAGCAAAATCAACATGAGCGGCTGATATTCATCACTGCTGTTGAGCAAGCTGCCTCTCTGGATAGCTCATTATGGACAGAAGAGCTTATGTTTCAGGCACACAAATCTGAACATTTTTCCATTACACTCCTACAATTGTACTTATTTAAATTTAGAACTGAAATACGCTTTCATGCATTTATTTATATTTACTAAGTATGTGACTGTGCAGAAGAAAATTATTAGAATGATGCTGTATAAATACAGCTTCTGGCTTCAGAACTTGTTATTCCCTCTTATTTGGCTGCTGTATTCCACTATCTGATGCTGTAGTTTTCTATCTCTGGAAATTACCTTCCTGGTTTTACTGCCTGAAGTGTGATATATTAAGAATTTAGAAGCTTTCCTAGAACTGAGTAGTGAGTAAACCAACCCCACATCCAGTGATGTGTGGTCAGTCAGCTGAGAATTATTACTAGTTTAGGCCTTTCCTTTCTCTGTAGGGAGCAGCTACTTTGAGAATCAGGATTTGCTCCAGCAGTGTGATTTCACTGGATGTCTCCAGCTCTGAGATCTGGTGCATGGTCTCTACTAGAGGAGAGAGGATCGCTGCCAAGCATTTGGCAGTCACCAAATCATAAATGTCTCTTTCTGTTCCTCTCTTTCTTCAGCAAACGGGCTGTATCAGAGCACCAGCTACTGCATGACAAGGGCAAATCAATCCAAGACTTACGAAGAAGGATATTCCTTCAAAATTTAATTGAAGGTGTCAACACTGCAGAAATCCGTGCAACTTCAGAGGTCTCACCTAATCCTAAGCCTGCTACCAACACAAAGAACTACCCTGTCCGATTTGGCAGTGAAGATGAGGGCAGATACCTAACTCAGGAGACAAACAAATCACAGACCTATAAGGAGCAGCCCCTGAAGGTATCAGGGAAGAAAAAGAAAGCGAAGCCTGGAAAACGTAAGGAACAAGAGAAGAAAAAGAGGCGAGCTCGCTCAGCTTGGCTAAATTCTGGCATGTATGGAAGCAATGTAACTGAGAGCCCAGTCTTGGACAACTCCATTACTACACATAATCATATTTTAAGGTAATTCCGCTGTATCTTTTCCACATGCATATCATACATTTACTGAAATTCTTACCCTTCTGTGTGTGAGGTCAAGGCATTATTTGAATTTGGAGTAGTAGCGTATCTTTATGGCCATAGGTACGCAGTGGGTTTTTCAGCTGTGCATTGTGTCAAGGTAAGTAACTCTTTCCACTTCCCACTGTCAAATCTGCACCAGAAAGTGAGTATTTTACCTCTGGTGACAGAGTCACTATCATATAGTATACACTCCATGAAGGCTTCTTTTCTGATTGCAAAAAAATTCTAGTATACTGCTTATTCTCAAAATGAGCTTTTAGAAACTGTATAGCAGTAACAGTCATTTCTGCTGAAAGAAAGCATATCAAATTCATTAAAACTTCCCAGTGTCTCTCACTTCGTATCTCAGGCCACCACAGACTGAAAACTTTGAGTTTTAATTAAGGCTCTGCGTTTATAAAATGACAAAATTTCCTTTCTTTTCTCTCAACATTTTCCCTTTCTGGTAACTTTCCTGTCCCTACCTTATATTTTTCATTTTACTATTTAATCTTAGAAGAGAAAATGGAAAAATCCTCATGCTAATGTCTGGAAACGGTGCAGACCAGTCTTTTGCCACAAGATTTTCCATGCAATTAGAATTTTTTAATTCAGCTTCATACTTCAACTAGCTTGTGAAACAATTACACGGCTGCTGAAAAATGTTGAGCCTTACTTTTGGAAGTAGGTGTGCTTTCCTCATGTATGACAATGAAGGGTTTGTAGGGCAGAGGTGTACTGAAATTTCAAGCAGAGGTGCGCCGAGTGACTCATCCTCTTGCAGTTATCTCAGTTTAATTGAAGTCTGTACACTTGTGGACAAGGCCAAGTAATCATCTCCTCAGTTATCCTCAAGTGTTTTCATTCTCAACAACAAAGAAAACTCACCCTTCTGTCTCCTTTCCTTCTGCTTTGGCACAATGAGACACAACAGAAATACCACTTGATCACAGGATGTCCCTTAGAAAGAGATGCCAGCTGTGAGACTTATAAAATTCAGACTTTTGTTAGAATTCAGAGGGTGTTGATTGCAGCATACTCTATTGTCTCAACTTCTGTTGGCATCTACTCAAGTTACTGGTATCCAAGGCCAATCATTCAGCATCCCTGGCCACAAACCTGTTAGTGTGGCTATAGTAGTCATTAGTGATGTAAGAGAGGATGGATTTGTCGCAGTCGCCTAAGGAAGGCACGTTCTGGTGCTCCTGTCAGGAGATATCTGAACTTTCAGTAGGTCTTAAGGAACTGCGGTGGCAGAAGAGTTTGCAACACATAGAGATCATGATAGTAGGGAAAAAAATCCATGGGCAATTTGACTATTTCTTTGTGTATACAACCACAAGGAGCTGTAAGAGAATGGCAGATATAAGCCTGAATTTAGACAGTAGTCTGAATTTAGTCTTCCTGTTTCAGTCATGATTGAATAACTGAAGGCAGTAAGTTTACGCTGGAATCCTGACTTTACCTTTTTGATACTGTTGCCCAACATGTCCAAGATTATGACATTACAGAAGCAAATTCCTTTAGGAATCTAGAGGCCTCTTTAGAGGCCCTGTACTGTAGATATTTGATTGAAAAAAATTAAAGAGCAACCCTGAAACAGGAAAACACTTTTCCTCCTTCACAAGGACAGAGTATACTATGTTGGTTCTGCCCAGCTCAAGTATGAATCTACAATTATCTCTGAAGGTTGACAAAAGATTTAAGATCTAAATGAATGCAAGACCTAACTTCCTGTCTTTGCTTTAGATAGAGGGAGACAGGTTCGGTGCAGTTTTCTGTGCTGTTACTGGCATATAGGGGACAATTTAGATGGAGGGATGACTGAGTTTTGGTGAAATTGATTCCTCAGCAATACTGAACTAAATCAGGATCTTCTCCTCTATTTGCTGGTGCTGTACAAGGAAGGATCATGTGAACATGATATCCAAATACTACATTGGTAAAAACTGTTTTTGTAGCACGCTACTAGTTTCAGCTCAGCAGGAGCATAACTTCCTTACAATGAAGAAATGGATATGCATAGTGCAGTAGCCTGTTTTACCCCCGTACATCTTATTCCTTCCTGCTATTATACTATAGGCTGAATTAAAATCCTCATGCCAACTCTCTGCCCAATCTCTGTTCCAAAACTTTGAGTTTAGATCAGAAAAAAGACCAAAACTTTTAATTGCTATGAAAACTATCTCATAAATGTAGACAATCAGAGGCAAAATCACAGAAAATATCTTGTAAGTAGTCATTAGTACAAAGTTCACTGTTGAGCTGTGGTTTAGCTTAAACTCTACAATAAAGACCAGAATTCAAGCCAGAGTGAAAATGTCACCCTCTTAAAAACAGCCCTGTGTAGTGCAGATACACATATACAGTCATGCTGCATGAACTGTGCCATTGTTATGCTACAGCCTGAACACATCCTAATATTACCCTGGTTAATCACTGAGGAGCTTCATGCTAGTAGTTCCATTCCAGGCACTTAAAAATTCTTTCTCATGAACATTCTAGCTCTATTCCCATTCCAATTCAATTAAACTGTTATTACCTAATTTCCTAAGAAACTTTTCAAACGAGCAGACTCCCTTGTGTTAAATGTAGTTTCCCTTGCAATGTGAACATAAAAATATCCCCTTAAACTCTCAAGGATTTGCTGTTTTGTGTGTGTCTCACGCCCACACACGTCTGCCATGTGGAACGCTACCCACAGCTTCAGTGATCCATCCAGAAGCAGAGCGAATCACACTCTGTCCTATAGCTCTGCATTCCACTCTATAGCTGTTTCCCAGGGAACCAAGGTGCATTACAGAAATGTGCTGTTCACAGCAGCAGAAGGGAAAAAAGCCCAACCCTTCAGCGTTTCCTGCAGCGCTGAAATAATGTAGAGCAAGTACTACGTGCGCCAGATAGAAGCAGGCTCTGCTTTTGTTCTCCCATGCTCACAAGGAAAGAAGTGTTACAGAACTCACACCAGCCCACTAGCATCCCTTAGAAAGCTCCCAAATCTTAGAGCTGTATACAGCTGACACTGAATTTTTCATCTTTGTCTGAGTGCAACAGGAGTCATGGCCTAACATGGGATACTCATTTTCTTTCCAGTCCTAGATGTTTGGCTCAGAAAGGGAGAGTTTCAGGAATAAAGTCTCTTCTTTTATTAAACTCGTTAAAGAGACATGCTGTAAAGGATCCCTTCTCTTTAAGACCTAAACTGACTTCAACAATGTTGAACTCAAGGTCATGACAGTTCAGAAATACACAGATCCATGATGAACAGACCCCTGTCTGTCTGGTGGTCTCACCGTGAGAAAGACTGAATAATCCTGTGGGACAATTCTAATCATAAACCAGCCAATGCCCAAGCTGCTTATGCAAGAGGGATGTGATTGCCAGAATGTTCAAAAGGAAATTTATTTTTCTTATCCTCAAATGAAATTTCTCAATTCTTCAACTATACCCCCTTGATATATTTATTATAGACTGATACATTTTTTCTACCTGTTGCACTCAGGAATGTTATTTTGTAAGGCCCTACAGAAAACCAAAGTTCTTTCCTATTTGTCTGAGATTACAGCGTAGCAGAGTAGATGGTCTAAGTCAATAAACTACGGGTCTTCATACTGTCAGCTGAGATACACTGAAAGAAATAGATTTTGAAAATATATCTAATACTGTAGTGCACATTTAACCAGCTCTTATTTGTGCAAATGCTTATTACCAAGGTGCACTCACTATAGTCTGAGTAACTCTTGTTATTAATATTGGATCTATATATTTAAAGTGAAAAATTAATGTTTGTTTGGTTTTGTTTTTTTCCATTTTTTTTTTTTCTCTGCAGGAGGCGCTGATATTTTCAGCAAGACAACTTTGGAAGACATATTGCAGTATTCTGTAATAGTGAACATAGAACATATGGGAAGTATTAAAATATTTATTACCTGTAAATATTGTAAATGCTCAGAATAAAACCTTTTTGTCCCATTGCTCTCTGAAACTGCACATTTGGTTATTGTGAATTTTCCTTTTTTTTTTTTTTTTATTATTATTTTTTTTTTTTTAATTTTTATTGGCTAAGGCTAAGACAGTTATTATTGTCACATTTACCCTAATTTATTTTGTTGATTGGTGTATTTATTTTGTGAACGTATCTTGGTGCTGCTGACTTTCTCTATTTTTTGTAACATAATGCACTTTAGATATATATTGAGAACTGGTATTAAATGTTCCTGTTTTGTGGTTGACTTCAATGAATGCCTACACAAAATTTTTCAAACTGATTTTCCTTTGTGCATGTATAATAGCAGTATTTTAAAATTTGTAAAGAATGTTTAATAAAATATAATCTAATTAAATCATGATTCAGAAAGAAAATGTGTCCTTGAGGAATTTCAAGACCAGAAACACCATTTTTTTCTTTACTACATTTGAAAATTGTTTTAAATTTAATGTGTTTCCATTGGTTCAAGCTCCTACATTTTCACATTAGCTTTCACTTAAAAATCACACTGAACTTATTTTGTTCCAGTGCTCTGTTTCAAGTCAGTTCAATAGTTGAATAACTTGGGAGTACATGATTCCTAATATTTCTAGCTCCCAGTATTGTAAATGCTAAGACATGCTGCTATACAAGTAAGAGGACATAAAAAACAGCTCAATAGGATGAACCAATTATTGCACACATGGAGGATGTTTGCACATCATACCCCCCAGTCTTGTCTGAATGAGACAGATGGCACCCTCAGCTCTGGCCAACTTTACCCAAAAGTGAAACTGTCTACCACAGGAGTAGATTCACAGGTCTGCAGTTAGGAGTTACACTATCTTAACATTATAATAATAACAAATTAAAAAGGAAAAAAAAAAAAAAACAAAAAAAAAAACCCACTAACAATGTAAGAGCCAATCAACACCTCCACCAACAGCAACAAAAAAAGCAAGTAAAGAGCATTTTCTGGGTGAATGTATATAGGTGCTCCAAAAGTAATGACTCCCATTTATTTCTGTGGTAACTGCAATGGATACAAAGAGCACAAAACACTATTTGGTAGAAAAAACTTTTAGCTACAAAAAACACTATTTTACAATATAGTCACCACCATTAGCTAAATGTTTTCGCCAGTGATGAACAACAGTCTGCATGCTGTACACATCAAAATCTGTACCAGTAGAGGTAACACATTGTTTTGCAGTGTTTCGGCACTCACTGCCTCGCTGCACCAAACATCCACTGTTTGGTCTCCATAAACATCCAGCAAGCATCAACTGATGCAATTTTTTCCACATGGAGAAATTCAATTCCATACTGTTGCTTCAGACACAATTCTGTGTCACACCAATTTGTCAGTCCACCCCTCTGCTGACATATGTTGAATGGCAACAAATATAATGGAATATCATTGTTAAGGTTAAGCCTCTACTGCCATACCACTAGCATCTGCCTCTGACATTATGGGCCGACACGATAAAATAGGAAGCATTGCTTTTGGAGCATCCCTTGTATAAAGAGAAAAAATGTATATTGGAACATGCAGTAGGTGACACAGCAATCTGTGCTGTTATATTGCTTAAGTGTTTTTCCCCTCTCCCATCACAAAGATGCTTTACATGGCTGTGTTTCTGAAAAACATCTGCACTGATTTTATTTTTCTCTTGTACCCATAGACAATGGCAGTTAAGGGGGAGACGGTCTTCACTACTGAAGAAAACAGCAGAAAAATAATGATCTCAATTTTTTTTTTTTTTTATAATTGAACATTTGAGTACTGCTTCCTATCCCTTTTTCTGCCACCCACATGTTAATCAAAACAGCTGCTGTGGGGGCAACCTGAATAAAGGAGATTGTTTCATGAAGATAGCTCTACTTTGTAAAATCCTACTGAATTTCTTCTGTCTCACTCCCTTAACTTCAGCAACATCAGAAAAATGCATGCGTGGAAAATAAATTACAAATCCTGGGAATTTTGAGATAGTTCTTGTAATTGTTGCTCCATTCTGTAGTTGCCAAGCTTTTCTTTTTTATTCTTCTTTCCTTTTTTTAAGTGCCATTTTTTTCCATTGCCAAAGTACAACCATCATATAATACGAAACAGATGTTTTTCTGCTCTCTACCCAATCTTGCAGAAAACTACCTCCAAGAAAACACTAAGACCAAGAAAATTTGAGAAAAACTTACCCATCCTCCCGCATCTGTTTCTCTGAAGTGTGGCATCCAACACTTCATTATGTCTGCTTAATTGCTACACTCACCAAGCACAAGACTATTGTTTCCTTTTCAGATGAAAAATATTATATACATGGTGAAACATAGCACAACTTCAGGGTTGCATTAAAGGAATAAAAAGCATGATTCCTGCACATTTTCAACTTGGCCTCTTTACACATCCTGCCTATTTATAGTATCCAGCTAATGTTTGGATTTACACAACTGAAATCAACTGCTATACAGCTAGAAGAAGGTTTTGTATCTCAGGATTACCAGCATATCCCAGCTGGAAGTGAAATCTAGAGCTGCAGTGGGCAGAGGCACTTGAGTTTTGTCAGAAGGGTTGACCCTTGACAGAGAGAGAACCCAAAGGGCATAAAAAAAAGCATACACTCAGATACCAAACTGTGGCTCTGTAGAACCAGACACTTTGTAACGGAACGGTTTATTGTGAAGTGTCTCCAGTCCTCCGTGTATCTTTACCCTGCCCATTAGGGACGTCCAATTTTCAGACATCTAGAAAATTTGCAATTGCAACAACTTTAAGCAACAGTCCTTATAAATTCCATCTATGGATCCTGTGGTTCTCAGATTATAGTTTGAAAGTCACTGCTGCAGACCAATGGATTTAATTCTGCAAAGCTAAAACCAAGTCTTTTGGGGCTCTCTTTTTTGCAGAAGAAATCCAGGAGACTGCTGACTGACACAAGCACAAGCAATTTTGGATTTCTAGCTATCGGGGACTAAGTTCTTCAAGAAACTTCAGTTTCTCAGACAGATCAAGCCTAGTGATTCAACTAATCTCAGAAAGCCTGCAGTATTCAGGACTTACCCTGATATTTTCTGATACACAGGTCAAATGCGAGGTATGTGTATTTCAAAGGAGGAAAAGTGATGCTAGAAATTAAACCAGTATATGACCTCCTGAATGTCTGCCCTCTTACATTGCTACTCACTTGATATTCCATATTTGCACAGCTAAGCATATCTAAGATGGACAGTACTATGGGTACTGAGGTGCACTAGGGGTTTTGAAGTATTAGAGGGAAGATTTTTTGCACAGCTTGTATTTGGTTTCTCTGCTTACAGATTACTGCATTACTGTAATTACTGGGATTACATTATCAAATGTTCTTAATTCTGTCACTTATTTCTTCTTTTCCCTCCACCCACCAGTTCTCTTTCTACCTCTACTTCTAGGTCTTTGTCCTTTTCCTCTGCAAAATGCAAGATCATCTTCTTGTCTTTTCATCTGAAGTCCTTGCCCTGCACTTTCTTCGGCTCTCTGCACCCACCATTTCTGGCACAGTCCTTCTCCTAATTATCCTTCTCTTCCCACATCCACAGTATTTTCTATGTTTTTTTCTCATAGTCCCAATCATCCCCATGTGTACTTAGCTTTGCTTCTTTTTGTCTGCCCAATCCCATTCCTCACCTCTCACACTTTAGCTTCCTTCACCAGTCTCCTTGTTCAGCATGTTCTTCCTCCAACATTCTGGCTTGCAGTCACTGATTTTGTGCTTCTATAACCTTTACACCAAAGATTTTTTCCTACTGGTCTATTCTCTCTCCTCAACAGCATACCACCTTCCTCCATATGCCTGCTTGAAAGGCACTCAGCCTGGTAGAACAAGAGAGCTAACAGGCAGCTGAGTGCCCTCATTTGTTTGGTAAGGGATGTCCAGACACACATCCAGACACGCATCACATCATATCTAGTGATGAAGGCTTTTGCTGTTATAGCAGTAAAGTAACCTTCATTCTGTGAATGATTTTTCACAGGGTCACAACAGGGCCAGATGTTCTTCATAGTGATAAAATAGCATTGCTGATGCAGAATATGCACTTTCAAATTTCCATTTTCTTACCTTAGCCAAGAGATGCTAGGGCTTTTCAGAAGAGTTTGCAGTGTACTTTTAACACGTAAAGCATATTGTGTTTTCCCTGTTTTGCATTTTAAAATTATAAGACTATTTTGGCTGGCATTTTCTGTAATAAAAAGCAGTTTACAAATTTTCAGCTTGAGGGGTTAAAGATTAAAGAGAATTGCAACAAAATGAAAGCAAGACATCATAGTAGGAGGTGGGAGACAGCCTCAGAAGTGTGCTGAACAGCTATCTTGTCTCTCAGATCCAGCTAACACATTCAAAGATCTTGTTGATGCCCATTTCAAGATAAGGCAAGACCTCAAAGGTAACCTACATTTAGTACACTAGTGCTGCTCTGGTTCTAAAGTAATTGCCATGGAACTTAAAAGCTGCTGAGACAAATCAGATGACGACAGTTCTTCATAGCAGATACACTATTGCTGGACCTCGATAACAGATGATTCTTTGGCTCTGTGTATTTGGCAGTAGAAGTGAATTGACAGTGGAATTTCACTCACAGTTTTTTATGGTCCTTTGTAAATGCAAGCATTCATTTGATACTCAAGACACACACAGAAAAGTATGATATAGTCTGTATCTACACTATGAAATATCTCTGAAATATCAATTAAGAGAGATCAGGCAAAGGAAAGATTTGGCTTAGTTTGAGGTATTCATGGTCTCAACATTCAGACAGCAGGTTCCAATACAATGCACCAACAGTACCGTAAGAATACATGCTCACTTATGAGTAAATGCCCTTGGTCTCCTAAGCCACCAAAGAGAATGTGGCTGTTTTGTCAGCAATCTGGGAAGTAGGCAAATGCTGCCTGTATTTAGTCACAAACTTTAAGAGATTAAAACATTTTGTTACATTAGAA